TGGTAAACCAGTGGACTTTGTGACACTCACTAATTCCCTCCTCCATCTCAGTGTGGGTATTGTAGATTTTTGTATTTCAGAAGTAAGTCTGCCTGTGTTAAATTTAAAATTAAACTGAATTACAACCAGATCCTAATTTACCTTTTAAATACATTCTTACCCTCCTCTCCACAACCATTAATTATGTGGTTTTCTGTCATGAATACATCTACAAAATCTAGATTATGGTGGGAAATTAGAGCTGATATATATCCTCCTGATGTAGACACAATAGGTCACATGTGAAGTTGTGGAATGGAGAACTCTGGGTAAGTTATCGCATGATGTGCATTGCGTCAAGAACATTTAGAAACTTGATCACACTGTTGTTGACTGTTAGAGAGCGAGGGAAAGACTTTTATATTTCAGAGGTAAAACTGCCTATTTTTAAATGTATCTACTGGTTTGAAATTCATTTTAATTCTAAAACAATTTAATTTTGGCTTTTCTTGAACATAGCTACAAGTCCATTAAATTATGATGACTAGTGGCCCAGCTGGTCCACTAGAATTTCCTTTTAACTATTCTAATTATACCATAGTATACAAGCATGTATACTGTATAAAGTTTTGTGTTACTTTTGTATTATATAGTGCATTCAGCATCATAAAGTTATATAATAAAGGTGTATTTCCAGAAATAGAAGCACAGTGAACTGTTTTTAGTAAATAAACATGTAGCTGTTCTCCTTGTTAATGAAACTGTAAGTTTAATGCTCAATATTTGATGATAAAGCATTAATGTTAACCACTTTGGAGCTTGTAATTATTTAAAGAAAAACAACAATAGCAAATTATCAATCTTGGTTTCAGTAAATGATTTTGTATTTAAAGATATCAGTAATGCACCAGTCTTACTCATGAGTGACTGATAGAACTTTGAGGTTTCAGCTCCATATTAGTGATTAAATTTATATGCACATGGATAAGAAGATTACAAAATATTTAATTAATTTCCATAGGTTATTACATGAAAGAACTGACATGCATTGCAGTCTTGAACTTGTAACAGTTAAAGAAGCATACACATTTTCTGTAATCTAACGTAATTGTTGTTGTAGAAGCATGTGTTTACTGCTTTTCTTTTTATAAAATGTTTTACGTATTAAAGAAAAGTGAACAAAAAATATAATTGACTATAATCTGAATGTTTACTTAATATTTGCTGTGTTACGCCATGTGATACTACTGCCTAAGTTAAACATAATGATAGGAACATTCCTGTTGATGTGAATTAATTTACATGCTACAGTTTCATGTCCTTGTGTATGTTTTGCAAAGTGACCTTCTCTACATGTATATTAAAATGTATACACATGTCTTACTGGAATTGTAATCTTCCCACTGAGGAGTGGCGTTTAGGAATAGTTTAAAAATACATTAAAATATTAATAGCTTGTTGAGATCTAGTAGCTTTTATGGTAGTAATACTGTATGTAAGCCAAGAATTTCTGTAATGACATCAACATCATATGCATTTTATTCATTGCCCTTGAGTTGGCTAAGATATATAATTGGTTCTCCTCAGGATGTTTTATTGAGAGCAATTCTAATTATAAGATACTTTCAACCATTGGGTGTAAAACAGTTTGTTTTTTGTGAATTTTAAAACCAAATGTTTTTTCTAATGCTTGGAATGGATAATAGTTTTAAATGAAGTTTGTGCAAACCACATATCTGAAGACTGATAGGCAAAACAGTAAGTAGTTGATATGAGCACTAATATTTACTTTTCCGAAAATTTATGGGTAAGATATTAATTGGTGTTTTTAATTGGGTAAAAGAAACATCAGCTAATTTTGTAAATTTTTGTAGGCATTATAAGATTGACAATGTTTAGTGAGGATAAGGGACAAGAGATCACATAGTTAACTGTTTTAGAAAGTTAAGGGACGTGACAACACATAGTTAACTGTTTTATGAGGTTAAGGGATGTGACAACACCTAGAAAACTGTTTTATGAGGTTAAGGGATGTGAGATCATCTACTAAGCTAGGTTAGGAGATAGAGTTTACCTATTTTGTGAGGCTAAGTGGCAAGAGTTAATCTTGTTTGCCTGTTTTGTGAGGTTAAGGGTCAATAGTTAATCTTGTTTGCCTGTTTTGTGAGGTTAAGGGTCAATAGTTAATCTTGTTTGCCTGTTTTGTGATGTTAAAGGTCACGATTTCATCTAGTTGAGCTATTTTGTGTGGTTAAAGGAAAAGAGCTCAACTGTTACTCCAAAAATACCTTACTCAGCATTTTTACGAAGGTTTGTAAGCAAAAGCAGTAACTAATCTTTCAAGGCAAACAAAATTGTAAACACCTTCCAAAGAGTAAAATCTCGTCAATATAAAGAACATTAACACTTTGAAATATTACAGCTTGCCACCAGCCTATATTTGATATGATATTTATGCTTTAATTACATGGCCAAATATGGATATGTAAACTAGTTATATATGAATTTTTCAGCTACATCTGCTCTGGGGATGGCTCCACATACGACGACGAGGATAAACATTGCTCAAGCAGCCCCATCACTATGACTAGTGAAGACTTATTACAGCCTGGCCACGTTGTAAAAGAAAGATGGAAAGTGGTACGTATGAAGCTGATAATCAGTATCATAAATGTACTCTGTAAGGCTCTTAGGTTCTGAGAATTTTTTTGAAGATTGGCATTGATATAGTACAAGGCATAAGCTTATTTTTAATTATAGTCACTGCAATAAATGTACTAGCACATGTACGAATGTGTTGACACAGTAATTTCAATTAGTAGAAATTAAAATGACAAAAAAGACAATGCAAGGAAAATTATTAAAAAAGCAAATCTGTAAAAAAAAAAGATGCTGTTTGATAATTTTCTAATATTTTTCACATGATAAATTATTTAATTATATGTGTCGGTCCTCAGTAACTTTTGAATGTATAATTGTAAAAAGAGTCATAGTTTGCAGGCTTCTAGGTGTTAAAAACATCTGCACAATATAGCCAAATTCCAAAGGCAAAATAGAAATACAAGATAGAAAATGTTTCTTTTTTACAAAAACTTTTCTTGGCTGTTTCATGAAAGCATTAAAATGGAATTTCAATAATAGATATGCAAATCTTGCATTTTTTTCCTAATATGAATAGCTTTGAGAAGACTTTAGTTAGATATGATGACTCTTTACAATCATGTACAATTCCAAATAAAACAAGTCTTTATAAATCCAGATACTTGTAGCAAAATAATGTTGTAATTTGTTAGCAAGAGGAAGATGCAGGTTGTAATGATCTGGTAGGTCTAGAAAATTCTAGGGGATTTGATGTTAGGCTTTCTAGTACCTTGAGGGTAAATTGTAAATATGAGATAGTTTGAAGATTTTAGAGTTAGTGCAAGTTATAAATAATTTCTAGCTGGTAAATTGATCAATTAGTGCATTTTTGTTGTTTCATCCTTGAAGTGTTAGAAATAAGTTTATTTCTTATGTTAGTGTAGTGCAGTTAGCATCATTTGAAAATATGGTTTACAGCTTTTTACAGTGAAGGCAGGTCATAAAAAAACTTTAGGACAAACTAAACTATTATTGTTTACATGGATTAGACTTTGAATTATTAGGTCGTCAAGAAATTAATGTAACTTTTTTAGATGAAAAACCAAAATAACTTGTATATCAAAACAAAAGATTTATTAAATAAAATACTATCCATTCTTATCCATGATGCTTTTCCATCTTAAAATCTTAAAGAAATCACTTTGCTTTGAAGCAAAAAAGATGTCTATGCCCTTTTTAACACCTTCCACATTTGCATACATTTTCCCATTAAGATGGTGTTACAGCGAACATAAAATATGGTAATCTGATGGGAGCCATATCGGGAGAATATGGTGGGTGGGGGAGATCTTCTCAACCCAACACCATAATCTTGTGTTGCATCAAACGTGCCACATGTGGACGTGCATTGTCATGGAGAAGAACACCTTTCTGATTGATGAGTGAAGGGCATTTCTGATGAATGGCTTTATTTAAATGTTCCAGTTGCTGACTAGAGATCTTTGCATAGAGATTGAAGAATTTGAAATAAATTACTCATTTGATGTCCCACCAAATGCAAAGCATCATTTTCTGTGGATGGAGTTAGGTTTTGGGGTCAGAAGTGTTTTTGTCTAGGACTAGGCCATTGTTTTTGGTGTTTAATATTCTCATAGAGAATCCCTTTTTCATCACCAGTGACAATTCTGTTCAAAAAGTAACGTTCACACTTTTGAAACGATGAGAGTTTGTGAGGCATCCAGACACCTTCTTTGTGAAGTTTTCCCATATTCCTTAGATGTTTACATATTGTTTCATGAGAGACATGCAATTTGAGGGCCATTTCACATGTGTGTTGCCTTGGGTTAGACTCAACAAGCATCTTCAGAGCATCATCAGTATCAATTCCAACATGTCGGCTCCTGCCATCACAGTTTTAAGGCTAAAGTCACCAGAACGAAATTTGCTGAACCATTGTTGACATTTACAAACATTCAAAACATTTCCATAAACTTCTTTGATATTCTTTGTGGCTACAGGGACATTGTTTCCCTTCTTGTATTCAAACAGCATTACATGCCATGCCAAATGTGTGTCTCGTCGTGTGCCATCGCTATAAGGGATTAGAGTACACTAAATATTACACATTATATAGGCTAAACTAACGTGACGTTTAGGTGGTTCGTTTAAGTATTATACGTGATGTATATTTTTTGGGGGGTAATGAAAGTGTTCTAAAATGCTACATTAATTTCTTGATGAATTAATACAATCTCCTTCAAAGTACAACAGATCCAAGCAACTAAAGACAAAGTAACATGGCGTATCTAGTGCGATGACACATTAAACAGCCAACAATCTTCCAGAGACAAGACATAATAAGCTAGATGAATGAGTTGCTGAACCCAACCAGTAAGGTTAACAGGAGAAAGATCACAGAAAACAGAGGGATTCCAGTGTATAAATATGTGAGAACGGAAACCCCAAAAAGGATTCAGTTCGAGACATAAAGCAATGAAGGGAATGGACAGGATAAAGAAGAGAATTGGGATCATGACAGGAATATAAATGGGAAATACATGTGAGGGAAAGGGGAGAGAAGGCAAAACAACCCTCATAAGCTACAGATGTCTTGGGAAGGAATGAATGATTGGAATAAAGGAGAACATAAGAAGCATGGTAAAGGGTGTGGGAAACATTCATAGCACAGATATCAGAATGATGATGACCACTAGCAAGAATGAGATGGAAATAGGTCTTAAGGGAGAGGTGGTACAAAGAACATGTAACAACAGGTTTGAAAGGAGAATGGGCAAGGACATAAAGAACATTTAGATCCCAATTCAGAAACCTAAATGGACTGGGCAAACAAACAATACCAAAGGAATGGAAAAGAAGAGAAGTAACAGGGGAGAAGAAGGATCTATGAAATGAGAGAAGCAAAAAGTGTGGGAGAGAGCAGCACAATAACTAGAAACAGTGGACACAGACAAACTTTGATCAAATAACAAGGTAAAGAACCTGGACAAGTGGATATCTGAAGGTTGGAAAGATCAGAATCCCCAGCAAATAAACCACTGGCGAAAGGTAGACCAACAACGCTGATACACACACAATGAGGAAGGACATATGGATTGAGTAACCAAAGAAGCTACACAGGTAGGAAGTTCCTGAGTAGAGGCAATAGACCGGAAAAAAGCCAACTGTGAAGACATCTGGATTAAACACTTCTAATCGAGGCTGCTGGAATAGAGACTTGGACAGAGGTAAGGGAAGGGGTTGCTGTTCCAGTAAGGGCCAAAGTAGAGGAAACCACGACTGCGCAGGCCAATACGGAGCAACTAGTGACACACAACAAGGAGTAGTCTGTATGAGAGAAAGAACTCTGGAGAGAAGTCTGATCAGAGGGTAAGCACAGAGATGAAGGCCTTCCAATCCTGACTGAATGCATCTACCCCAGAGCTGAAAGGTGTGGAACAGAAGACAAAAAGAAAGAAAGTTTGGCATTTCAATGGGTTGCAAATGCATTGATATGAGGCATACCCAGACGAGAATACACCCACTGAAAAAACCCTGTATGATGGGGCCACTCTGTAAGAAGAACTTGGTTGGGTTAGGATAAATGGCCTGCAACCAGATTCATAACACCAGGAATATGACATACCAAGAGTGTGATGTTGTAGCTGTGAGCCCAGTATAAGAGGTCGAATGTGAGAAAACACAGGGTCTTGGACTTGGTCCCCCCTTGTTTGGAGGTATAACTGAAAAAAGTTGAATTTTTGGAATAAACCATAACCACCCACTTTCAGTGAGAGAAATGAGTGAGAGCCCGATGAACAGCTAACAGCTAAGTGGTTGACATGGTAAGTAGATTAGATTTCTCCCAAGATTTGAGAGAAGCCCCAATCCATCAAAAAAAAGCACCTGTGAACAAATGCAAGTCTGGACGAGGAAACCCCCACCATGGTAAGAACCTTGTCAAGTCACCAAACAAGGTCGGCCTTGATCCCTGGGGGAAGGGTAATAGAATGATCCAATGGATCACAGAAGTTTCACTGGTCAAGAAGCATCCACTGAAAAGTGCAGAACAGGAGACCAAAGGGAATGGAAGTTTGGCATTCCAATGGGTTGCAAATGCATCAATGGAGCCACTCCATGGGTAGAACTTGGTTGAGGTGGGATACATGGTCTGCAACCAGATTCATAACAGTGACGGTTGTGCTGCAATGGTAGAGGGAGCTACTTGTGCTCATATAGAGGGTGTAATGGGATTGGTCAAGGGTTGTCACATGATCAGCACACGTTGTTGCAATGACACAATAAATATAAGGGTATAAAAGACTGGTGTGCTGTTCATAAGATTTACTTATGCCTAGAGGGCAAATGAAGGTCAAAATAGGCATTCTCCTTAAGCAGAAAAATGATGCACCAACTATCATAAAGTACTGGTCATGGTGAGTCATCAAAACTGTCCAGAGGCTTAATGACACAATATATCTGGCATTTAATGACAGCAAAGCTACATGTCCTGAAGACAGCTATTTTTGGTTGTTAACAGGGATCAGGTGCAAGTTACATTACAGTATGAGTAGTAATCTGTGAACCCTTTAAAAGAAGCACACAATTCAAATAATAATGATATACAAAAGAAACACCAAAATACAAAAACTGATGTTTCCCTGATAACTGTCATGGGCAATTTTGGTGAAGTTGTTCAACAGAAATCAAAACTGTTGGGTTATGAATGGAATTCTTAAAAAGATAATGAGTCCTCACAACAACTAAGATTTTCAGGCAAATGATGTAATCCAAAGAATATTGGTAGAGTGGTCATCCAAAACTGCACCTAGGCAGTGGGGATCTCTTTGATTACATACAAGCTTCTATAGAAAAAGGATGTAAGTAGAGTTCCCTATGCTATGTGAGAATAGTTCAGCCATCACTGTAAGAAGTCAAAATTTATAAAAAGAAGAAGCAACTCCAAACCAAAGGGTTTCTGGACATCTTCCACAGGTATGCTCAAAACCACAGTAGAAAAATAAATTATATCCTACAGAAGCAGAGTTGCCAATATAAAAAGA